TTTTAGAAGCCTAAATGAACTCGGGTGGTGGAAATTCATTGTACGTCATGGTGTTCATAAATTCCTAATTTAATAGGACTGAAATTAATGAAATTCTAATTTAAACAAACTAAAATTATAAAAGAATTCGAAATAAACTAAATAACAAAAATAGCTTTAAAACTTTCAAAACTAGTTTTCGAATCCTAAACGAACTCGGATGGCCGAAATCCATTGTACATCATGGCAAAGCGATGAGTATTACTCGTATCGTCGTCTTCTTTCCAAAATGCTATTATGAGCCCAAACCGAAATTCAGATGTTTTCTTTGCGCTATTAATTTTTCACCATTTTGATCCAGTTCTTCAACAATATGTTCTACATCAGTCCTTTCCACCTCAGAAGAACTCGACCCCGAGTTATAATCTCGACATAAAAGCTATCGTCTTTATAGAACTCATACAAACCTGCCACATTGGATGTCCGAAAGATACCCATGGAAGCGGGTAAATCAATAATTTAGGCGTTATTGTTAATCCGCTAAAACACTTTGAAAGGCTCATACTTTCTCGGTTTCAACTTGTTGTAAGTACCAACTGAAAATCTTTCCTATCTTAGAAATACCATCACTGAATCTCCTTTTTGAAATTGTTTGTCTCGTTGATGTAAATATGCCACTGTCTTATATTTTGCATTAGTCTTTTCCAATTTCTTCTTTATTTCATCACGAACTTCTAGCACCTTTTCTTCCAGATGTTCAGCATCCACACTCTTACTATTGCCACTGGACAACTTCACCAAATCCACAACATATTAAGGAACCTCTATATACACTATGGCAAATGGGGACTTGCCTGTAGCACTATGTACTACACTGTTGTATGCAAACTCGACCTGAGGTAGTGCAAGATCCCACTGTTTGGGCTTATCTCCACGAACACTTCTAACCATATTTTCAAGGGTATGATTAGTGATTTAGGTATGTCCATCAGTCTGGGGATGGGCAGTGCTGCTTCGATTCAAACTCGTCCCAAACAACTTCCACGATGTAATCCAAAAGTGTCCCAAAAACTATGTATCCCGATCTAATGTAATAGACTTGGGAACTCTATACAATTGAACAATTTCCTTGAAAAAGAGTTTGGCAATATGCGATGCATTTGAGGTCTTTTGACAAGCTATAAAGTGAGTCATATTAGAGAACCTGTAAACCACCACAAAAATAGAATCTACTCCCTGTTGAGTAAGAGGTAATCCCAGAATGAAATCCATAGCAAGATCTTGCCATATGCCCTGAGGGACCGAAAGTGGCATGTACAACCCAGTATTCTACATTTGGCCCTTTGACACCTGACAGGTATAACATTTGCTGATTATAACTCCAACATCTCACTTCAATTGTAGCCAATAATACCTAGCTTCCAAACTGACTATTGTCTTGTTATGTCCCAAGTGTTCACTTAGACCTCAACCATGCAAATCTCGAATCAACTTTTCACATAGAGATGAAACGGGAATACAAAGTTGGTTGCCATTGAACGAATATCCATCTCTGATTTAGAAATATGTCACTGCTTCACGATTCACACACTTGCTCCAACTCTCCTTAAAGTCAAGATCATCAGACGCTTAAATCCAATAATTTCATGTGACGGTATGACTAGCAAAGAGGCTCTTCTACTAAGGGCATCTGCAATTCTATTCGTACTTCCAGATTTATGTTTGATCACAAAAGGAAATTTCTGGAGGAAAGTTACCTATCGAGCATGCATTCTGCTAATATGTTTCTAACTATGAATAAATTTCAAGGCTTGGTGATTAGTGAACAAACCGCCTATAGAAAGTTGTCAAACCATGGAAATTCCTTATTTCAGAAACTAATTTTGGGGTTGGCCAATCTCGAATTGCTCTTGTCTTCTCTTCATCCACGTGTAGACCCTCTTCAACAACCACAAGGCCTAAGAACAACAATTTACGTCTACAGAAAGTGCACTTCTTCAGGTTGATGTGCAACTGATTCTCCTTCAGAACATTTAGGACTTTCCTCAATTGAACCAAGTGATCTTCTTTGGACTTACTATAAATAAATATGTTATCGAAATAAACCACAACAAAAGACCCAATAAAAGGACGAAGAACTTGGTTCATCAATCTTATAAAGGTACTCGGTGCATTTGAGAGTTCGAATGGCATCGCCAACCATTCTAGATGACAATTGAAGGTCGAGTTGTTTTAAAGTGAAAGGGAATAATGTGAGACAGTTAAAAGCGAAAATCATAAATAATTGGAAAAGAGAAAAAATCGGAGGATATTCGAAAATATGCATAACTTTCAGCTCGAATGTTGAATTTTTCGTCGTGAGTACAATCCAGATACCTTTATTGACTCTATGCATATTTTTTTAGAGCTCGTTGTCAAACTTTTGGGGTCAAATTCCATCGTTTAGAACTCTATTTTAGCATTTTTCTATTCTGAGTTAGTTTAAGTATATTTTCGTCATTTTACAGTATTTTAGTTTTACTCAGGTGTGTTTAATAGTTATTTAGTTTATTTGGATTTGTTTATAGAATTAGAATTTCACTTTGATTAAGAATTATTTCGAGTCTAAAAATACTCGTTAATGTTGTAAAAAATAATTTATTTCATTCTTGATTAATAAAATATTTTAGTTTTTCGGCTTCTTGGTAGATTCTAATATTTATTTAGTGGATTCCAAATAGTTATCACCATTCGAACAAAATTCAAACAAATACACGTTCCTGTGTTACGAATAAGACACTTTTATTATTATTCACGTTTTTGTCCTACATCACTGGATTGGCTCATTATGTGGTTGCCACATGACCGTTTCTTGGACCCTCATTGGATGATGCGTAACAAATACTTTTATACTGGTGCAGATGTGAGAAGCACAAAAATCATTAAAAAGGGTAAATGGTTTTTTTTCCCCCTTCTCTTTTAGTGTGTAAAGAGAAGTTGAGAGGATTGAAGTCAACACTTCAAGGAAGCAATGGAAAGCCTATTTGCACTTGAAAGTTACGTTTTTTTTAAGAAATTACTTTTAAAAAAATCTGAGTTTTATTATTTCATTTATAAAACTCAGATTTTTTTCTCTACATTCTTACATCAAGTTTAACCTACTAATGTTGTCATTTAGATTTTGGTGTTAAATGACACCAACCATAAATAACATTATTCTAACAATTTGGTGAAAATTTATGATGCCAAAGTTCAAAAGCCATATCAGGACCTTCTCGTGATGGTTGGTCAGATAACAAAAATGTCGTATTTTTCGATAGATCATTATGGATTGAGTTAGTATACTTTTATCTATTGTTGTAGGATTTCTATTCAAGATAACTGCAGTTCTTTTCTAGTGGTTGTAGGACGGGCGGCCGCCTATAGGTGGTAGGTAGAGTGGGTGATATTGCATCGCGACCAATCTTCCAATTCTGTGTTTTCGCATATAGTGTGATCAATGCAATGTGTTGTTAGTCATCTCACAATTAATATGTAGGTTTTGCTAGTTATTACACACATAAACGTATTAATACATTGCAGTATATGTTATTTAGGTCCAAGTCACATAAGATTAACGACAGGCGACATGTCATTAAATATATGTCATGTTAAGCAAAATCTAGCAATTATTATTTTCAAACAAACAATGCCCCCCCAACAACAAATTTGCCATTTGTGGTCCAAAAAAATGTTCCCTTTCCTATAGATATATTGAATTAGATACAAGTTTTATTTGCACGTGCCATGTGAGTCCTAACTCCTAAAGATTATCTTTAGGAACAAAGGAAACTACCTAATGAGATATCCTACTTTTAAGTTTCCATTTAAAAAAATGTGAAATATGTTATATAAAACAGTAATATAAAATGGAAGATGTTCGTACTTTCATATATTCGAACCCCTAAAATATAGATCTTTAAGCCTTGAACTCTAATAGAAGGATGGATATCAACCAAGAAAAATTTGAGTTGAGTACAAATAAACATTGTCGGAGCTTAAGTTTTCAAGATATAGCTCAATTTTAGAGTACAAAATAAAATTATGCATATTTTAATGTAAATAATAGAGAGATAAACCTCTCCTCATTTTGAGACGTAGTAGCGTTGTTTGGCTTACGAAACACTTAACCGTTGCAAGAACTCGAGTATATGAACACCTACATCACAACTAGAAGCAAGAAGGGGGAAATGATTAGTGATCGGCTCATGAAGACGAAATGCCATTATGATTTTCAAACTACACGCTCCTCTTTGATAACCCTTATTGAGTTAAATGAAGTTTTGAATAGTAATTTTTTGGAGAATGTGTAGTTAAAATATGGGAAAAAAACTTGAGTTTACGTGTAAAATATTTTATTGTGTGAATGTATGATTGAAAATGAGTAGAAAATGAGTTTTGCAATAATGATTGTCAAAACAGAGTTTATACCAAAAAAAAAATGTCCATTTCTCTCTCCACGTGAAAAATAAAGAATGAGAATTTGTTAATTGACACATACTTAAAATCTTCAAAAGTAATTAACATGATTAATTGATTATTAAAAGAAGGCTGAAGAACAGCAGGATCCCTTTTTTCTGTAGGAAGGATATCAATACAATTTAGTAATGATCAAGGGAAGGAAAAAAAAATGGTTAATATCAACAGTAATTGATTGACAAGCAAACAAAATAGATGAATCAGAAATCAAAATCAAAACAAAACAAAATAGAAAAGAATGAAATTCCAAGCAAAAAATTGCAAATCGACACCAAGAATATTTATACACAGAACAGAATTCAATTCTCTCTTGACCAAGAAACAAAAATCTCTCTTTGGCCGTCTCTCTCTCATATGGGCCTTCCATTTTGATGTTCATCAATTTAAGATCTGATGCAACCCACGAAGATTCTTTCTTTCTCTGATCTAGGATTTCTTGAATTCTACGCCGATTGTGAGTTGAAATAAAATGTTGAAGGGATAATTGATAAGTAAAAACCAGGGAAAAATTACACAGAAGCATCATGGAAGAAGGTATGGATTTGTAATCCCATCTTTTCGTTTCCGATTATGGTTGACTTGTGATGATGTGTTCATTTTCAGATTTTGATGCCATTGGGAATTCTGGATTTGGGGTTATTTGTTTATTGAGTTTTTTTTTTGATAATATTTTTGTGGGCATTCTGTGCAAATCAAGTCCAGGCTTTGATATATATATGGGATTTCGTTGTTATATGTCTTCCATCTGATTTTATTCGAAATTTTAGAAATTTGATGATATGAACACACCCAGATACTTGTATATCATAGTGTGGATACGGGAATTGACGGTGCCATAGAAGGTAGATGAGAGCTAGGTATAATCTTTGAGGCACAAGAAACCGCTGTGTGTTTTATGATTGTACCTTTGCGAGTTTTTGGAACATGGAAGATATTCAGGTGTTATCGTTGAAGTCGTTGCATATATATGTGGAGGATTAATCTGTATTGCCTTGCAAGAAGAATGAATTAATGATGTATTTGGGAAATGGCATGGAATACAATGAACCAATTGGGAAATTGATATTATTATCTGAATGTGTATAGTTATGAAAGTTAAATCTGACACAATTATTTATCATGAAAACAAGTCAATGGAGGATTCTTGATTATCATGTGTATATTAATTGCTGATCATTGTCAAGCTAAGCTACTAGATAAAATGTAGGTACTTCTAGTCACTGAAGTAACAGAGCTGGCACTTGCAGAGGTTTAACTGTTTTTCATTTTATTGATTCAAGTAGGGATTTACCATCTAGTGCTCGCAAATTATTCAATTAAGGTTTTAGTTTCTTTCTCATGTACGCCTATCATTTTTATCTTTGAATTCAATGTCAATGTTATGCCAGTTAGGATATGCTTTTGTGGTAGAAAACTCTTTGGATTGTCGAAAGGATTGTTAGTATCTAGTCAGCCCTTTTGGCCTTCTAGTCGGTACTGCAATAAGAAAAGTTACTACTTGATAATACTTTGAGCTTGTGGACATAAGGTAAAAATGATGCACAACCTCCAGAATTTATTTGATTGGTCACTTTTTGGCAAAAATATTGTTATAATATTTTACATCATTACCTTTGAAGGACGGTACATGCTTTTTGAGCATACATACAATGGAACAATATGATGTGTGAGTGAGCAAAGACAACACGTAAATTATTCTCCTTCCAACAAAATATGCCATAACACGTATCTATGTATTTTGGAAGATATGCAATGTACTTCAATTCTAATGTTATATACCATAAATCCACATACATCTATTCTTGATGGTGCATGTGTCTTGGAATCATCACTTGCTGCTGTCATACGTAAATGAATTTGGATTTTAACCTTTGGTTTTGAGTATAGCAACACGTTACTTTTAATGGAAACTTTCCTTCACATTCAGAGAGCATCGTTTGTTATCTTTGCTTCTAGTCAAAACAAATGTGTGACAACTTTATAAAAATGGGCTTTTAATTTGTTGATTTGAGTATGTGTGTCCAGAAGTCTCGATGGGTGTTGGGATTAGTCCTAAGCTCAACCTTGAAATCATTCAATCTTGGTAACTTGCACCATTTTTATACAGTAGGTCTATTACTCCAAGCAAACTGTTGACCACAATTCTGCACATTTATTTTTATTCCCCCTGTAGCAGATAATTTTGGGACTTACTTCCATTGTTCTCCATTGTTAATGGTTTAGAATTGTACGACATGCATTCGGAGGATGATAGAGCTCTTGCTGAGAATAATAAGAAAAGGAAAGTCAAGACACGTGCTCAGGTTGAAGCTTTGGAGAAACTTTATAATGGTAAACTTACTCTTCTTGTTATCTCCGGTCTTTATATTATATATCATCCTCAGATGTAATTTCTAAGAAGAACTTGTTACATTTTTCCCAGAACACAAATATCCTACAGAATCGATAAAATTACAACTTGCTGAGTCGACAGGGTTGACGGAAAAGCAAATTTCTGGGTGGTTTTGTCACAGAAGGTTGAAAGACAAGAGGTTGTCAAATGAAAAAACCTACGAGTTTGGAAGACAGGATCATTCAAGCAGAGGTATACAGGATCGGGGCAGTGGACAGAGGCTAGATTCCTGTGGTAGCACAAAGCAGGGAGATGATAGGAATTCTGATACCAGGGAAGTTGAAAGTGGGAGGTTAACCGTCCAAGAATTTTCTGCTGCAGAGCTTACTTATGAGCATGGCAGTCACTATACTGGAAACTATGATCCTACGGATGATGCATCTTCAGGAGGTAGTTCTTTGTTAAGGAACATTTCTTCTCATCATAATGGGGATCCTTCTGATATGGCAACCTCAAGGTACCTAAAACCAAAGATTCCGGTGGATACCAAGCATGTAAAAGCCAGGCCTGGCCCATCTGGTTACTTGAAAGTGAAGGATCAGGTTGAGAACCCTGCTATAACTGCTGTTAAGAGGCAGCTAGGGACGCAATATCGGGAGGATGGTCCACCACTTGGTATTGAATTTGAGCCACTTCCATTTGGTGCGTTTGAGTCCTCAATGCAGGATCCTGTTAATGGTGAGTTAGAATAGTTGTATTTATCTATGTCTGCACCCTTCAGTTTATGCTATACCACAACAATACACATTACAGTTTTCTTTATGAAAACAGGAAATAAAAAATTCCGTTTCCCTCATGTGTGTACTATTTCTTTTTTAATTTTCTATTTCAGCAAGAGTTGAATGTGTACTGCAGAAAGAGAAATTTTTTTTTCAGAAGATGAATGGCTTTTATTATTCTCTCTATTGTAGAAGAAATGGAAATTGCTGTGAAGTTTGTAGTGGAACTAGATCGAGCGAATGATTGGGAGATTTTATAGATGGGAATGAGTTGGACCCTCTGAGGGGTAGGTTGTCATATCTCCTGAATTTGCTGATGAACCAAGCAATGGCTTATTGGCTTGAACTCGCCGATGCTTCAGTCGCATTCCTGGACTTTAGATTAGATCATATCCTGTTGAGAGTGTAAAGCAGAGAGTTTTTGCATGGCAATGGTCCTCGTCAAGCTTGAGCCTTGATGTTATGTGGCTCCTCTATATAGCTGATCCAAGCTTTTGTATCTTAAGTCTCTAATTGGCACAAACCTCAGTCTCTCGTGCCTGACCTTCCATAGCATGAGTTAGGGCCTTTTAGTACTAAAACACCTTATAGCTAATCGCCGAGGGATATGAACTTTCTGGCTACCTTATTGTCCGTTTTTAATATATTGAGATTGAACTTTGCAGGACTTTGACTTGGTCTTTTTATAAAATTTGTGAGGTCTTGTCTCGGCAAGTCAGGTCAGTGGGTGCAGTTCTTCCATGTTCGATGGCCATGTCGGCTGTGGTGTAACAACCATTACAGACTATTGATCCTTAAAACAGTCTAATACATGTCTGTATATAGTGAACTCCTAACTGTTTCGTTTTTCCCTTTTGGTAGGATTTGTATATCTTGTCCATGCCAGTATATTCTGGCCTGGGATTTTCCTTTTTCCCTTTACAGATGTGAAGTCCAAGTGCGAATCTGATCTACTTTGATCTCATTCATCGGGGTTTTCTGACTCTCTTTTTTTAATGTGAAATACTTGTCAGAACCTTACTATGATGGAGAACCTGTTCTGCAAGCATCGCCTGATGACTCAAAAATCCAGAGGCAGCCTAATTTTGGCAAGGTGAATGGATTTCATGGACCTTTTCATTTTCTTTTGCTCATTTGGAAAATGTTACTTATTTTATCATCTCAACTGTTGAAATATCTGATACTGCATTTTTGTTTAGGAATGTTTACTAGTGTCTTTGAAATTACTTAAGAATTTCAAATGGAGTGTCACAATACGGTATACAGTTAATTTATTGCTAATGAGCATCACATGTGCACTTAGTCTTTCTCATCTCTAAATGCATTGGTTCTCTGTTTAGCCTCGAGTAGCTTGCATCACTATACTGATCTTGCATTGAGTTATTAAGACACTAGAAGTTTCTGGACTTCCCGCTCTCAAGGCTCTAGAAGTTTTGTTGAATCACTATACCTTTTTCATTGGCTCTAGAACTTTCTAGGCTTCCTGCTTTCTTCCTGGATGAATTAGTTACATTGTGAGGCAACAGTGGCAGTGCAATTACAGTTGAGATAACAATGTCAGTGGACTAATCTGATTTTTTTTCCCTTGTGGGATTTTTGTTCTGATTATTATGGACGACATGGAAATATTGCTTTCTCAACATGCCATGGCGAACAGCTGATTGGTTCTTCTTTTTTTTTTTTATTGAGCTCATCGTATATTTTCCCATGTTCTATGGTTGTATGTCGCAGCAAATTTTGACCATACCTTCCCTGATGATAGAGGTTGATCTTGTTCATTTCAGATTAATGGTATTAAAGTTTCAAATAACTTAACAAGACTGCCAAATTCAAGTTCATTTACCTGAGTGTACTAAGTGCATGCTTGGTACTAAGCCTATGTTTGAGCCCCATTCTATGTTGAAATTGAGTTTCGTAATAGTGAATTTTTGAAAAATGTGTGGTTAAAAAGTAAGATAAAGTTTAGGGTTTACTTGCAAAATATTTTATGATGAGCATGTGCGGTTGAAAATGAGTTTTTGAATAATGAAAATCAAGCAGAGGCTAAATATCTGATCGTGGTAGCCAAAAACAGAAAACAAGTGTTTTTTTTTCTTTTTCTTTCTTAAAATTGTCCAATAGTATCTAATTCTCCTTACCAAATATGCCATTAGAGAGGCATGAACATTTGTTTCTTTCTGGAAGTTCTTAGGCTAGCCATCAATCTAATATTACAGCTGACAAGCTGTAGTATGGCTTGTGCAATAGCTACCAAGTCTCCCTTTGTCCTTATAATGCATAAACATGGATAGTTTATTTCATTTTCACTTCTAGTTAATTGTATCTCATTTTGTTCTAATGTCCTAACAGGGATGTGAATACAGTTCCAACACAGTCTCTCGTTACTCTAATGTGGATAGAACCAGTTTCAAAATGCAGCATTGGTCTGATATTCCCGGGAATAACTTGCAGCAAAAATTTGGTCAGAAGCCAAATTTATCCGATCACAGTGAATATTGTCCCGAGGGCTTTTCTGAGGGTTTTGCAAGAGATAGACCAGGTTTCAAGAGCAGGGAAGACCACCGAAGGAAGCTACATGAGGATTCTGTATCTGGCCAACAAGATTACATTGAGCATGAGTCTTCAAATTTGACAATAAAAGGCAAAGAATATCACTATATTAGCGAGAAAGAGCTTTCTCGGCGAATTATTAAGGTCTACTTTTCACTTGCATATTCCTGTAATCAGTTGTGAGTTTCTACTCTGATGCTCATACTTTTGTGCTTGACAATGATGTGTAGAGTGGCATGGATTTTGGAGAAACGAGGGTAGTGAATGACAATTGTGAGCCAGTTCGAGCAAAGATGTCCCTGAAGAATGAAATAAGAGTAAGTTTGTGCTCACACCAATACTCTACTTTTAACATTTTGCTATAATGCTATTTTTTTTTTTTTATTCTCTATATTTTTCTTTACACTTAGGCTGCAAAAAGAGTGAAGGGTGAATTTCTTAAGCTGCATGGGAAGGGATCATCAGTGCTAGATAACCAACCATGGTCACATCATGTTATGAGGTTGAACTGATACATTATCCTAAATCTAGCTGCTGGCTGTACATGTTTTTGTGAGGATTCCTGTGAGATATTATTGCATAATATGGTGATCATGTTCCGATTTGGCGCTTCTCTAATAATCCTCTCTATAGCACATCGTCAGACGGGCTCTTGGCACATAGTTTGAGAAAGAGATTTTCATTTACGACAGTGATTTTTCTAAGTTCTCAAATATACCATTTGCATTCTAGAATGATAAATTACCATTCTTTGGATGTGAGCTAATGTGCACCAATAGCTACTATTGCTATATTTTTTTGCTTTCACTGAACACAGAGTTGTATGTTTTAGGTCTGCTGTGAAGAAGCCATCTAGTGTTAGCGAAGATGTTGAAAGTGCAGAAACGAGTTCAAATGGTAGTCGTTAGGAGAAAACCCTGCAGTTTAGTATTTGAACGTCATACTGGAAGTTTGTACAGTTCAACATTTTATCGTGTCGTAAGATTAGCAAGTTCTTGCAGGAACTGTAATTACCAAGAAAATCCATTTGGTTATGTTCTTGTCCATACAAAGTTACTTATACTTGATTTGATGTCTTTTTAGAATTTCACTGATGTAAAGAAAAAGTTGGTTTTGTTTGAAATGCTTGCATGGGAAAATGTTATATCCTGTTACTGTCTATTGAGAAAGATGCACTTATCTTGAGTTGAATAGAATAGTAGTGCACCACGAAAAATATAATCTAAAATTTTGTTAATTATGCTGTCCAAAAAACATGCTTTACCTCGTCAAAGCCAACTCTTTTATCGTGCAGAGGGCCAATTTAGCAGGGCTATTGTTTCTATTTCTCGTAGAGCTTTTTGAGAAAATTATCCCAAGTCAGCTTCCTCTAAAAACCTTCTAGTATGGCAAAGCACTCTCCAAAAATTACCCAAACATGGTTCAAAAATAGTTTGTCGTATGAGCATGTTTGACTTTTAAAAAGCACCACCAAACGGGCCCAAAATATTCTGCAAAATGCCCCCCAAAAAAACATGTCTCATTGCTTCAATTCATTAAAATTTACAAATTAAAGGGATAATTGCAGCAACAGCCCCTAACCTTTCAACTTTTTGCAGACCTTAGCTTAACCTTTACTTTGTGTCAGCCACGATCCCAAGCCTTTCAAAAATTCACACCTGGAGTCCAACGAATGGATGGAAACCATCCATCTTGCCGATAGTTGACCAAAAAAATTCAAAATTTGATCAATTTTGACCAAATGAAAAAGGGCAAAATGATATTTTACATTTTCCCACATTAAATAGTTGAAGTAATTAAAAATAAACCCACCCCACCCCACCCCACCCCACCCTACCCAAAACCAGAAAACCATCCATTCACCACCGCCGCCGTCGGACATCTTCCCTTTTCAATTTCTTCACCGTCGTTCGATCGATGAAGCAATTTTTTACTGCTTCCCTTTCAAATTTTAGGTTCGATTTTTGAGAGAGCAGCAACTTTTGAGGCAAAGAACGAGATGAATTTTTCGCACAGTGCCTGAACTTCATCCATAAATTCAGTGAGTTTGTGCTACAATTAAACTTGACCCATGGGTGGGCTGGGTGCGCCAGAGGTAGAGGAAGGTTTCCCAAGTGGTCCGGGGCCATGGGTTTGTTGGACGGTACTAGAATCATCATTGTTCGGACTATTCTGAGCAACAGTCACGACTGGCGTAACTTCTGAACCAAATTCGATCTGCTGTGGGGCTTTTTGGCATAAATTGGGAACATGGCTGGAGTCATCCGGCCATGGGTAACCGGCCGGTGGTAGTCCGCGATCATGTTGGTTGCCGGAATGTGGGATTTCGGCAACTTGGGCAATTTCATGCAGCGAAGTTTGAGTGCCGATTTCTTTTGATTTTCGAGTTGTGAGTATGGGTGTTTGGTGGTAATTGAAGTAGGAATGGACAGCTTTGTAATGACACCAATATTCGACGATCTTATTGTGGAAGATGACGATATTTTCAATTTCTTATTTAATTATTTTAATTATTTAATGTGAAAAAAAATGTAAAGTACCATTCTGCCCTTTTTCATTTGGTCAAAATTGATCAAATTTTGAATTTTTTGGTCAACTAACGGCAAGATGAATGGTTTCCATCCATTTGGACCCCATGTGCGAATTTTTGAAAGGTTTGGGACTGTGACCGGTACAAAGTGAAGATTAGGGTAAAGTCTGCAAAAAGTTGAAAGGTTATGGACCACTGCTGCAATTATCCCTAAATTAAAGCATGCAACACAATTTAGCTCATCATATTCACCCTAGACAGAACAATCCAAGTTCCCATAAAACTAGAAATAAGGTGCAACATTAAGCTAGTTTGTGATCAAGCCTAACGAATACCCCCAGCAAAGCAAGCAAAATTGAAGCATATATCTGAATGGATGAGCATTAAAAAATCTTAAAATTGCTTGTAAGGGGTTACTGATATTAATGCCAAGTCAAAAATTCTAGTACAACAATCTGCTTGTTCATAAGGTGGTATTGGTGTTCATGAATCCTTGGAGTTCTTGTCCAAGGCGTCCATCTCACTCCTCTTTCTTGCTCGATTTTAAAGCATCAGCTTCTTCGGAGCTGGGAGTTTTAGACTCATCAAACTCCAACAACTGCAGAGAACAACAAATTGCTCAGTAATAAATCAACTAACAGGTTATACATCTGCAAAGCTACCCATAAAAGATCGGCTTTTTGTAAGCTAAAAATGTATATGGTAATTTTAATAAATTTAAAGCGTTGTAACATGGAATTGGTATAGCAAAAGAACTATAAGTGGGGAGAAGGGAGCCATAGGTAATGTCTCAAGGACCATTCACTAAAAAAAATATGTGCGTCAAATTCCATACTGTTTCTAGATTATTACATACATAATCATTTCAAAGATTAAAGAAATGCACCAATATACAACAAATATAGATCCCTGTTTTCACTTTTCTGGGGAAGAATTATATTATTCAGTTGAAAACAAGCTCCAGCCCGACAATTTCACCGCAGCAAGTTTGAAAGGGAAGTCATAAAATGTCTATGGTGGGATTTGGTGTCTTAACGAAATAGTGTAATTCAGTATGAAGAGGTTGGCAGGCAGGGGTACCAGTGTAAGGAAATTGACCATGGATGATGGGTTTATCTAAAGTAAAGAAATATTGCATGTTTAAATATGGAATCAATAGAAGTTTGTAGAGGATTAGCATGACTGGAGATATATACAGCTCGCAATGTCTATTCCAGCTTAGGATCATTTTCAAATACTGGAAATAGGAATTTTGAACCACGCAAATGATATTTTCACCAGTTATGTGACAACCACAGGACAACCAGGCTGCACTTGACTCTTGGCTAGTAAGGGGTAGTTTTCATTTTGCCATGATTTTCTCACTTGTTAAAAAATAAACAATAGTATTTCATAATGAACTCCTTTTGAAGATAAACAAATAAGAAAATTAGTTAAACTGAAAATTAATATGCTTGCAATTCAAATGGAAGACTTACAGGTTTGATTTCACCGTTACATATGCAATGCACAGCCAAAAATCCAATGACAGCTGGTACAATGTACAATAGTGCAGGCTGGAAAAAAGACAGCATATGTTATGAAGAAAATTAAAATACAGGAGATATAAAGATAACTTATGGAGATAATTTATTCAAATTAATCTTTTATGAAAATAAAATAAAATTGAAAGAACATATTCTGGATACTCACCTGTGCAGCTTGAAACCAGTTCATGACAACGATTGTGAGCACCAAACCAACTGTGTAACCTAGAAAAGCACTCTTGAAGTATTGGCTTTCTTTCCCTCTGGAAACATCGAATCGTAGTGCCAGTGCCACAAAGATGCCTGAAAAGTCCAGGTAAACCTCGAAATTTTATTCAAGTGGACAGGACCATATATAAGGATTGTGCATCTACTGTGAAAACCTAATGTGAAAGGAAAGAAAATTCGTGGACCCCATATCCAACGAGTATAAAATAGAGATGGACAAAATACATACTAAAAGAAGGACTAAAGACATTATTGGTCATTAAACTTTAGAGAAATTTCATGTTGGTTACTAAACTTCATTCTGTTCCAAGTTGATCACTAGAATTGAACTTCATTAAGTTGACTCACCAAATTTAATCATTTATTACAATTTGAAACATTCCATCTCTGTTAGTTTGACGAACATAAAAGCAAACATAGCACCTAGTTGACAAATAACTCAACTCGGTTACCAATTTGACTGACATGGAATTTCCTATAAGTTTAGTGACCACCTTTATATTTAAACCGTTAAAAGAAGGATGAAAAACAATCTCAACCCAAATTCATATTGTCCACACACACATACAACATGCAGCCACAGCAGGTGGAAAATAGAATTTTGACCAAACCAAAATATTAAGGGTGTGTTTGATGCACATTTTTTAGGAGAGAATGCATTTTTTTTTTTTTTTTTTTTTGGTGATGATGAATATGGTTGAAAAACAAGGAAAAGTTATTAATGTGATGGAAAATATTATTTTATTGCAGAATGTGTGGTTGAAAATGAGTAGAAGAATGAAAATGAGAATAAGACTATGGCTCAAAGAGGGGCTAAGTTTCACAATTTTAGTTTGTACCGGGAATCACTATATCTCCAAGACCAAGCATTGAAAATGGACGAGCAGAATCTGATGTAGGAAACAAAAGCTGCAAAAAGTGAAGCATAATTATAGTTTTATAGAAGGGTGTTAGATACATCAAGCAAGATATATTCAATCTACACCATGCTATGTAGACATACTAATCAACTAGAGGTACTAACCTTTATCGGAGCATCAAAAGATTTAGCCACGCTAACCATTACTGGAGTGAAAAAGACCCAGAATATGTCGTATACGAAAAGCCCAGCCTGCAATTTGTAAAGATATGCATTTAGTAAAGGACGACCAGATGTTGCTTGAACTAGCATGAAACATAAAATCCAAAAGTATAAAGGTACATGCCTTTTCTATCCACATATTTGCACTGACCCATTTATGCCTACTAATATCAAAAGGGCCATTGGTTTATTCTTTCCTCCTTTCCACAAAACAACTTTAAGCCCCTGTTTGATCCCCCAAACTCATTTTTAACCACATGCTTCATAGGATCCAGAAATTTTACAACTTTTCAACCACACATTTCATCAACTTCTATCAAAATCGAAATCTACTAAAAATTTGATTATAATCAAAACCAAACAGGGGCTAAGCTATTGATGTATTCACTTTCACCTTTCCCTCAACCAACATGCACATCACCCCCAAAAGAAATCAGCCAAAAACATTTCTACCCAAGTAAAATAGAAATAAAAGAACAATAGTAAGAAGAAATATACAGGGAAAAACCAAAAAAGCCAATGATTGTGAGCTATGTGCTACTGAGTGAGTGTCTATCTCAAAATTCCTTTCTTACCAAGAGAATGGCACCAGTCTTAAATGAGCCGAGTGAAAGCATTTCAATTCCCTGCAATATAGAAAAATAATTAAAAAATGCATGTCATTAAAAGCATTCAATGAGTACTTTGTCCCAAACCATAGAAAATAAAATAATTAACTTATTATGCATACACTTTACATGCATAAGTGGGTAGTCAGTTACGTGTCCCATGAAATGTGTGGGATAACAGTATGACAGACCAGCTTAAACAAAAAAGTTAAACAATGCCAAACCTACCCTAAGTTGTATATGCAAATACCAAAATTTACTGTATTGAGTATGAAATTCATTAACATATTTTAGGCAAGCATTTGACATTTAACATGTGCACATAAGATTTAAAGACAGCACATACCGCTGTAAGCAGCATTTACACCTTAAGAGCATTACATGGTGAAACTTTTGTGTGTTTGTATGACAAACATACCAGAGGAACAAACGTAAGTGTTATAATTGTAATGATATCAAACCTGAATGCAGAAAGCGATGCCCAAAATATTGTTAGCCAACCAATGCTTCTGTGAAGCATACCATGCACAAAAGAAGGTTCCAGGAATCGCTGCAACAATCTGTGATCTCGTAAACTCAACCTCCAAAGCTGTGCAACAAACAAGTAAAAAAATATCATTCTGCATACTGCAAGCAATATGTGTCAAAATTATCGAACAGTAAGCAGAAATGAGAATATAATCAGATATCATTTAAAGTGACCAAATCACCATTATATTTATAAAATGTTAGTAGCTTTAACTCATTAGGAATTGACAAAACCATCATGACGTGTTTACATTCAAAAGTATATAATCAGAGAGATATTCCACCAAAAATATACTTAAATTCATATAATATCTGAATAAGTAACACAGACGTCATCAAGCAGCATTTATAAATCAAACTGCATCTTTCATTATTATTAGTCAACAAGTACAAACTCAGTTGTCCAACTTAATCAGTATTCTTTTTGACCAAAATCAAAGTTTCAACCTTCATACAGCATATTTTCTTGGTAATGTCAGAACATAGCAAATGAATCCAATTACAGAAGTATGAACGCCAGAACACAAGCCACAGGACGGTAGAGGTGTCAATCCGGATGGTCCGGGTCGGGTCGGCCCGCCAACATATGAGCCCGGTACGGCCCTCGTGAAAAAAAGCCCGCCCTCTACGAGTTCCTTGTCGGCCCACAAATTATGAATTACAACCCAGGCCCGCACGTCGACCCATGCGGGTCACGGGTCGCGCGGGTCGAGATTTGTTCCGATTTAACCCGTATTATTGTATAAATAAAATTATAAAAATATAGAATTTTTCATATTTATAACAAAAATATTTTTTTTGTTAAATGTAAACTAAGAATTGAACAAAATGATAAAGAAAAATGCTAAGTGTACATAAGAGTGTACATAACCCTCACATGGGATGTGGTCCACAAAAATGTGGGCTTCACCCCATGTGAGGGTTATGGACACCCCTATGTACAATAATTATGTACACCAAGCAAAGTCCAATGATAAATTCATATTTATATTAAAAAATGTTTACATAGAATTCAAATTTAATGTTATATGAATTATCTATAACTTTGCAAAATTAAATTTAACTTAAACAAATAACAACTAAATGCATTTCTAATTATTATTTTCAAATATTTATAGCATAAGTACATCCCAACTAGGTTGACACCTACGATTTTAACATTAATAGCATTAGTATAACCAACACACGATCTTAACATTAAAAAAGTTGAATTCCATCTATTAGGAACATCATCAACAAATTTTCTTCCCCCCATTTTTTTCAAATTTTTAAATTTTTTTTTCACGGGCCAGCGGGTTAACCGCAGCCCGTGAAGGTCCAACCCGCGAAGCCCCTAGGTTATACCTCCTTGACCCGTGAACCGCCCGCTCGGGTCACGGGTCGACTCGCGGTCCCATGTCGATCCGGGACGATTTTCAAGGGTCTGGCCGGCCCGTCTGTCTTGACACCTCTAAAGGACGGGGATCAGAGGGCTAAAAACCTGTAACTAACAGAAGAATTCATTGCATCTTGTACATTAAAATTTATAGCAGGTAAAGATATAAACTACAATGAAGCTTCCACGTTATAATTGCCTTTCTTGACAAAATTTTATGTCATCCTTTAGTAACACAAACATTACAAATAAGCCCAATACAATTTCTCGTCAAGGCATGGATAAGAATAATTATCAAAGAAGAAAATCATCGTACTTTCAATCCTGCAAAGAAAATATGTTACTGGTATTTCATCGTGACAAGAATGAGCCCCAGTTTTTTCTCATCTTATGCCTTGAGTGTTTGATGATAAGACAAATAAATGAATGTATACATTAAAGAGCAATATGTGATCGCAATCCTTGAATTAAAAAGAATCAGATACATAGAATTAGTGAGTTCGTACATCGAAAATATGGAAACTTCCAGGTTATGACATCATCATTCCAAGGTTTTGGCAAAAAACGTTTAATTGAGGGTAACAATGTTGCCCTACAAAAAGTAATAAAAGAAGTAAGATGGATTAATAATTATTTTATTTCTTCAATAGTCTAATGAAAAGTTATTCAAAGTAAACTTGGCATAATAGAATAGCCAACATGGACTTACGAAAGCGCGACAATCCCAAGTACGAAAAAGTAGCATGTTAATACTGCATTAACCAAGTCTTTTGACAGAAATTTAAAGAGCAAGAACAATGACAACAGTACTGCACTCCCAACCAAGGGGAACCGCATTGCATGCTCATTGGACATAGTCTCCTGAAAGATTCAATTGTGCAATGTAAGGAAAGGTCAACATAAATTCATAAAAATAACAATGAATCTGCTGGAAACACAGTGGGATGTTCCACTTACTGTAGGTGGAGTTGGCTTGACAGAACGGTAGCAACCTACATATACTGCTAGGCATGCTGTCAAAACAACATTCAAGTTCGGGTCTACCTTCACAATCAATGGAGTTAAAGTCAAACCTGCAACCATGATAAACAACACATCACTAAGATGTAGACCATAAAGAAAATATAACTTATATCCCACATCAATAGTATTTTACACTTATCCTGTTGTACATGAGTATTTAAATTTCAAATTGAAAATGAATGTTCACACGCACGCTAATATACACACATAAAAGATCCTATACGGCATACGGCCATATCCATTAAAATTACAACATTGGAATGTACATTGTGTTTTATGTTCTGTATCAACAGGTACTAAATTCTAATGGTATAAACTTGAGCATATGTTATGTGAAAAATCTAATGTTCATGAACTGATTTTTCAGTATGAGAAATACACATTGTAGCATTCACGCACAATTCAGAAGAAGCCATGAGAAAAGTATGTCAAGCAAACGAAAAAGCTCCAAGTAAAATGATAAAACTAAATCATAGTGAAATGCGCTGGGTGGGAGAAACGGTGAATTGAAGTTATTTATCAGGCGAAAACTCATAGCCTTAATACACAGAAAGAAAAAAAAAAACAAATCTAACAAAAAAAGAGGATTTTAGTCGTTAAATCAAATTGAAAGAGCAATATGATAAATACCATGCTTGTGTGTGTCATGTCATACCTGCTAAGGCGAGGTTAGCTAGACGCTCATGATTCTTCATTGTAGAGAATTATCAAATGTTTGACCCTTCGGTCCACTTCAAAGAAACTCTGTCACACATTCCAAGGAAAAATATAATAACCAATTACAACGCGTAAGCATGTAAACCCACAATCCTAATCAAATTCTTTCAACCAAAGAAAAAGAAAAAAAACATGTATTCAAACTTTAATTTTCCAAATTCTCATATAGCCCCTGTTTGGTATTGTCATTTTAAACCCACGGGCACCCACAACTTTCCAATCACACATTCAATCAACCTTTATCAAAATTTACTAAAAATCTGCATAATAAGAAACAAAAAAAATAATATGCAGCAAGATTGTATAATAATTAAAATTTGCAATAGCATAATTCTTGAAAGTCGGGAAAAATCAATCTTTATCTGTAAAGAGGCAAATTGTCAAGTTTCCGAGATTTCTGCAATGAACAAGTCGGGGATCAAAGAACAAAATCAAAGACTCGTACACCAGAACCCATTTCTCTGAATTCATTTATTATCAAAATCCACATAACTGGAAAACTTTAATTAACATAATCAAAGACCCTTTTCCTTGATTCTTCCCCAAAATCCAAACAAAAATAAAGATTTTGCACGTAATGACATGTGAAGGAATAGAAAACCTTGAAAATGATGGTTAATCTTTCTCTCTCCCTGAACTGATCTTCAGTTAATACACGCAGATCGGAGACACCTTCAGTGTGTGTAAATTGCCACACGCGCACACACGAGAGGAGAGCGTTGGAGGGGATTGATGAATAACGCGTTTACATGTTTCGAGTTTCTCGTTTGATTATATACAGTTACACCTATTTAACAAAAAAAAAACGCTTTTGTCTTTATTACGTTATGAGTCGTGTAAAGGAAGAGTTCTGATTCAAGCAAATTGTAGGATGAATAGCTGAAGGTGATTTTAATATGGGAACAATACATAAATCAAGAATTTACTTTCACCAATTTCGAAAATTCAAAAACAAGTTTCAGATTTCAAAAATCAGATTTCTTTAAATTTTTATTTATGAAAATAATAATTATTAAATCAATTTATTATTAAATATTTAATTCTAATATAATATAATTAACCAACCCCATCTCCACCACCCCTACAGTTCCGGTGACTATTTCGACAACCTTTCCGATCACCACTCTTTTCCTGCTACCTTTTCGGTGACCGTTCTGGCGACTGCTCCGATTCTGACGAGTATTTCGATAACCGTTCCGCCACTTTTTAGGTCACAATTTGCTTATCGGTCACAATTACAAAATTTAAAAGTTGCGTTACTTATTTTATGGTCACAAACATCAATTTATTGGTCACAAGTTAATAATTTTTAGGTTACACAACTTGTACTGGTGACAATTTATTGAATTCATTGGTCACAAATTATTTATTGGTCACAAACCAACCAAATCATTTGTGACCACTTCGCCACTGCCTCCAACAGCGGCACCACCACCGTCGCCGCCCAATAACAACATCAACATCTCAAACAAATCAAACACCACACCCTCCCCCGCCGCTATCACCACCCTCAAAACCACATCCATCACCAAGCCGACAGCGACGACGATGCCACCAACACAACCGTTTCTCAACACCGATCCAACAACAACAAAAACCACGATTTGCAACCACCACAACCATCCGACAAATCAAACTCGAAAACTATAAAAAAAAAAAAAAAAA